GAGAGAGAGAGAGAGAGAGAGAGAGAGAGAGAGAGAGAGAGAGAGAGAGAGAGAGAGAGAGAGAGAGAGAGAGAGAGAGAGAAAGAGAGAATGGGTAGGAGAGAGAGCCCCATGTAAGAAGAGAGAAAAGAGAGAGAGGAAAGAGAGGGGAGACAAGAGAAAGAGAGTGAAGAGAGAGATGAAAGAGAGAGGAAGCCGTAGAGGAAGAGAGTGCTCTAGGGTAGGCCACATAGCATAGGTTGCGCAGTATACCGCATTAGTCGCTTCCATTGTGTGGGTCACATTGGTTGTGTAAGCCGCATTGGGCATGTAGGGTTGTACTGGAGTGTACATCGAAAGGCAGGCTGCTCGCATGTCAGCCCCACCGAAAAAAGAAAACAACAAAATTGAAAATTCTACAAAAATTCAACAGTGAAGTGCCTATGTTTGTATAGAGCTGTTCGCTCATTGATCTGGGCTCTTCAGGCAACAGGCGATGCAGATCACAGGCCGATCAGATATACTCTTATGGACCTGCTATCCAGGCCGTCCAGTTGCATGAATGGTACAGATCATGCCAGCCAGAATGCTTCTCATCAACATTGCCCATGACCGTAAATCTATGTCGTGTGCTCTGATACCCGAAGTCTCTTGGCATGACGAGAATACCGTGTGCTACACTGTATTCTACTGTCTCTACATCTATATCTATATCTACACCTAATCTACATCTACATCTGCCAGTAAAACACTTAGGCTCACCTCCCAGCTGCCGCAGAACACAGTCCGCTGAAGACGTGCAATCGACAGTGCAAGTGTGGCATTTCGACCAGCAGCTGCTGACAGCATAGCGGACCCTTCCATCATCCTCAATAGGCCCAGTGCAGCAGAGTCAGGAGGCTCCCAGGCGTATTCTCCAGCTGCAAAGTTCGCGTTGTCTCCAAGAAACCAAACCTGTACACAAGCCAACCAAAGAAGAAGAAGAAGAAGAAGAAGAAGAAGAAGAAGAAGAAGAAGAAGAAGAAGAAGAAGAAGAAGAAGAAGAAGAGGAGGAGGAGGAGGAGGAGGAGGAGGAGGAGGAGGAGGAAGAAGAGAAGAAGAAGAAGAAGAAGACAACGGATCACCACAAGCTGGATGATGCAGAAACAGCTCTGCGAGCAATCTGGGAAATTTGTGTGTTACTCGTTGAATTCTTCTGGTGTCAGGACTGAGAACACTTCAAAACTTTCTTTGGAGGCTGCAGATGGGGATAAGAAGATGCAGACCATTTCCATATTTCTGTATACTGCTCAGACTTCTGTTTTTTTTTTTCTTCAACCGCCGGTTCACCCCGAAGTAGACTACCACTCTTACCAGTTTCCGCAGTAAGAGCATTTCAATTCGGGTGTGGGCTGGTAGCGAAAGCCGAAGATGGCCACTTCAAAAGGCGCAGTTGCAGGCTCGCAAGCCTGGGAAGGTAGCTTCGTTAACTTAGGCTCGTGGAAAGTTGCAGGCGTGTTTAACAGTGCTGCAGAGAGCCGATTAAAGCCCACTTGGTGCCTTGCTGTGACTTGCTCTCAAATCATTGCTTTGTGCTTTGCGGAGTTGTCATCAAATCATTGGGGGCCCCCAAAGCCCTGAAAAAAAATGGAGTACGAGAGTGTACTTATAACTTGAAGCGACTAATGCCTACCAGGATAAGTATGGGTGTAGTACTTGTAATTTGCAAACAACTGATGCCTACAATCACATCCTTCCTTTGAATAAAATCCAGTTAAAAAACGAAATCAAATTAAAGACATGTTTCCTATTAGCATTATTATAGCATAAGTAAAATGTAACAAAGAAGCTAATCCTCCCATTTCGCACATATCTTGTTCATCAGACATTTGAAACGGTTTTCACCTTTTGCAGTCACAGATGCGGGGCCCAGAGTTCGATCCCCAGACCTTACCTTACCGTACCTGTGTACAGTATCAAGTCGACCCAGTGAGGCTTGAACCTGTGACCTGCATGTTAGAACTTGAGAGTTGTCTGTCGTAGGTCTGAGTAGTTGTCGGGTCTTGAACCTTAGACCTGTCGAAGTAGGGGTCGTACCTGCATAGGGGGCATAGTTGTTGTAGTTCTGAAAGGTCAAGGTCGTAGCTGCTACAGTCCTGAAAGGTCAAGGTCGTAGCTGCTAAAGTCCTGAAAGGCCAAGTCCGCAAACTTCCGGAAGATCCGGAAGTGGCCTTTCAAGTTTCTTCTCACGTCTTACACAGCAGACCAGAGGCAAGTGGGCAAGTGGCGAGTCCAACTTCGCTTAGTCAGCGGTACCCAGTCCCAGTCTATTCTTGGACAGTCAGCAAGTACCACGCGGGACTGTGTGCACCATGGGCCCAGTGGAAAAGGGCAGACCAACGACTTACAGAAGTATAAATCAAGAGGCAGCGCCCAGCCATTCATTCATTTAATGTGTAAGCCATGCGGAAGCGCTGCCCTAGCGTCTTGCGCGAGGTGGTCTGCAGGTTGCCCGAGGTTGAAGTGGGCTTGAGGAAGTCAGTGCGCCATAGTTAGTAGTAGCCGGCGGCCATAGCTGCCATAGCTAGTTGAAGTGGGCTCGAGGAAGTCAGTGCGCCATAGTTAGTAGTAGCCGGCGGCCATAGCCGCCATAGCTAGTGTTAGGTGTTAGTGTGTGTGAACGAGTGTGTGATACAGTGAATGCCTGTGGGGTAGTCAGGATGATCCAGAGTTGAGTGTGTGTGAACAATGGTGTTGGACACAGTGGCGAGAGTTGGGATGTACACGCACTCATGCGCCATAGCCTGTTGAACTTGCATCTGAACTGTGTTCTCGGTTTCCATATCTCTGAGCTTTGAGTGGGCGCCAGTGCAAATTGCCATCTGTTTGCATGTATGCGAAGTGAAGAAGAAGAGAGCGAGTCTGATTGCATTGGTATCGGAGCTGGTTTCCATTACTCCACACGTAATCGCCGTTGTCGACAATCGAGCACCATAGATGAAGCTGCGCCATCGAAGGAGGATGTCCGCCGTAGCTGCGCCACTAAAGAAAGGTGCCGCGTACCTGCAAAGAAGACAACGAGAGAGAGAGAGAGAGAGAGAGAGAGAGAGAGAGAGAGAGAGAGAGAGAGAGAGAGAGAGAGAGAGAGAGAGAGAGAGAGAGAGAGAGAGAGAGAGAGAGAGAGAGAGAGAGAGAGAGAGAGAGAGAGAGAGAGAGAGAGAGAGAGAGAGAGAGAGAGAGAGAGAGAGAGAGCGGAGCAATAGAAGATTCTTGTGCGCTCCAAGGAAGAAGGCGGCCATAGCCGCGGAGCTCGGACACGAAGGTAGAAGAAAGAAGACGAGTGAAGGAGGAGGGAGAGACGAAGGAGGAAAGAGAAGCCATAGTTGAGGAAGAGGAAGGAGGGACGACAAAGGAGAAAGAAGCCATAGCCAGGGTGAAGGAGAAAGAAAGTGAGAACAAAGGAAGGACGAAAAGAGAAGTGAAGGATGGAGAGAGAGGAAAGTTCGCCAGCCATAGCCGAGTTGAGCGTTGACCAAGTCGTTGACTAGAGAGTTGACCGAAGTTGACCAGGGCATTGACTGGCGTTGACTGGCGAGTTGACCAAACGTTGACCAGCGTTGACCAGAGTTGTTGACCACGAAATTGACCAAGCTGGAGTCGGTATACTCTCGCCAAGCCTTCAGCCTATCCCCTCGCCCTATGGATGTGCACTCACCCCGTGGTACTTGGTGAGTCTGTTTGTCTCTTCTTTCTGCATTGAGTCTCTTCTGTCCAGGTGATAGGAACTCCGTGTATGAGGTCGTAGAGCTTTGTTGACCAAACCCACACAGGCCGAGTAGGCCTTAATTCCATGCCTGACGACTGACAAGTCCCGGAGACCAAACTCTCCCCAGGACCGGTACAGACCGGCGGGCTGAACAGTGTGGCATGGGTGGCCCAAAATCCGAGCTGTGGGCTGCACAACAAGTTGCCTAAGTCTTGAGAGGACTTGCTGATCGCGTCGTCAGTCTGCGACGTTAAATAATTCCTGAGGAGTTACGGGGGATCTCCTTAAATACCTCCTGATCAGCGCTGAAGTCCTGTAGTGACTGCTTAGAAGTAGGTCTAGGCTAGCGACCATAGTTGACAGGGTTCTGAACCAGAGAGAAAGCCAGGTGGGATTGACTGCAGGTGCTGGGCATCTGGGTCTGGATTGTAAAGGACAGTGGTGGCGAAAGTTTCCGCCGGCCATGGTAACCTGGCTGGATCGAAGGGTAAGGCTCTGTGGTCCTTAGACAGTTAGACAGTCAGTCAAGTGGGTAGGTCTAAGTGGTGAGGAGTGGGACAGTCAGTGTCATGCACCTAACACCATGGATGACTACCCTATGTACGGCTTGCTCGTTGGGTTCTCCCTCTGGGGGACCCTCTGGCCTCTCCTCTTTCCGTTAGGTTTCTGGAACACCTTCACGTGTAGAGTACAGACCAGGGGTGCTGTTAGTACCACTCCTTACATGAAGGAGCAGGAGGAGTGTTACATGCACAAATATGCCATGTACGTAATAACCGAGGATCTGCAATGTGATGAAAAGGACAGAATGGACAATGCAGTGCGAGTAGAATCTCGACACACAATGTGCATTCTCATACATACAAAAGGTGTTGAATAGCGCAGGGAAGGCTTTGATACAAAACCTGACCTGACCGGACTGACCTCATTCACGTAGTATCAAATAGCGAAGCAGAATGATAGGATACTAATAACTAGCCCAATCAATGTTTGAACGCAGACCAAACATACATCGTATCCATCACCAGGTGTGAAGGAGCCTGGCGCTGTACACAGGAAGAAAGCGCCAGGTCCAGACATACACAGACGAAGAGGAAGGAATCAGATGAAAGGAGGGAGAGAGATGGGAATGTCGTCAAAACCAAGTCTTTGTCACCAATCCCAAATAATCCCTCGTTGTCATGTTTGAAGTCCAAAATGTCGAGTCTGGATCCGATGTCACCAAGCTCTGTCTCTCTTCTCTCGTAGTCTGCAGATGCAGTGAAATCAGATGATGAGAGGGGGAGAAGGAGATGGTGGACTGAGAAGAGGAAGAAGAAGAACTCTCTCTCACTGTTACGAGCCAGATACTGACTTGTGATGTTGGCGTTGTGCTGCAAGTACCTCGAAGACGAAGCTGGAGCAACGGCGCTGCAGGTAAGTACCTCTGGCCTCCGCCCAATCTTTCTCTCTCTTGCTAGTGCTATCCTAGCTATGGCACCCAGCGCTGGAGACTACAGCTACCTACTGCACCCAGCGCTGAAGACTACAAGCTAACGCTACTACTACTCTACAGCGCTCCCTCCAGAGTGCCGCTCCCGAATCCTGAAGACTACTGCCTCCTGAATCTATCATGAAGTGCCTGGGGGGGTACCTATATACTTCCACGGCCTGCCTTCTAAGGGCCAACCAGGCCGAGGAGGCTGCTCTTGCCAATCCACGGCCTCCCTCCTGACTGCCTGAAGGGCCAGCCAGGCCGAGGAGGCTCCTTTTGCCAATCCACGGCCTGCCTCCTGACTGCCTGAAGGGCCAGCCAGGCCGAGGAGGCTGCTCTTGCCAATGCACGGCCTGCCTCCTGACTGCCTGAAGGGCCAGCCAGGCCGAGGAGGCTGCTCTTGCCAATGCCGAAGGAATTCTAGGCTTTTTGGCTGAAGGGCGCAGGGCCTGGAAAATGGCCTGCGTGTGTAGGCGCAGCATGTAACACCCCCCCCTCCTTATGAAGTCAAGCCGGGGCGAATGCGAAGCCGACGATCTGAAGGTGGAACCTGGACGCGGGCGAGGTGTGGAACCGAAGAAACCGGCTTCCCTTGCATAGCGTGCGAGAACGTCTGGAGCTGTTGCTTGAAGTTCCGCACGGGTTAACCAACGGTCAGCTCGGTGTGTGCAGTATGCAAAGTGCACCAAATACT